AATACGAAGTTCAGAATGAAAACAAGTATTTGGATGAAACACTTCAACCTACACCGATTTTGCATGGTGGCTGCAAATTCAAGCCAAAAATCTTAGCATATCATTTTATAGGTTATTACAAACGGTAGTTCAGTCAAGAAACGTTTTGCAGTCCAATGAATTTTTATATTAAAACATGTCTTTAATGCTGAACTTTTTATGGATTGCGCGCATGCCATTTTCAATGAAAAAAAGAGGCTTCATATAATCTCATTCCTCAGTGAGTTCAGTGACCTGCATTTGCTTATAGAAACTAAGTATATATGATACAGGGGCGAATACAGATAATCGGAAGGGGGTGTCCGAAATGAAAAAGTGACGATATAGTGGCGTCATCAATAATCCTGATTATTTTTAGATTCATTTTTAGATTGAATCTTATCATGCAATTTAATCTTGAGCCGGATTCGAGTAACAGAAACCCTAAATAAAAAGAAGACTTACATGGAAAAAAAATCCGCCCCTTTGATAATTTCCCCATTGGAAGTTTGAGGGGGGAAACATGGAGAAACGTCGTGTGAACGGACATTTTAAGGGCCTTTAAGAGTTGATTTTTGAACAGAGCGGTACCATAGCAGATGATACCTCACAGAGATGATGATGATGATGATGATGATGATGATGACTGAAAGAGAGTTGATTTTTGAACGGAGCTTTATCATAGCAGATACTCATAAAACTCAGGACCCGGTTGTACGAAGGGTGGAATCGCTATCCGATTGATAAATCCTTATCCAGTGGATAAGTCGATGCTATTGTCCAATACATTTATCCACTTGACAAGATTCGTTGAAATTTGCTGGTTCCCAGGCTCAAGAGAAATTCGTGACGTAAGGCCAAGGTATGTCACGAAATCACCTTAACGCAGTAGATCAGCAGATAAGCAGGGAGAAAATAAATTTTGAGCAAAGATTCAGGTCTATATTTTCGCACAAGAAAACCAAAAAGAGAGGAACAACAGATCAAAGTAAATACAAAATATCAAAGCATAAAGTAAGTACACTTTTCGTATTAATAACGAAGTGTTTTCAGTACTATTACACAAAAATTATACTCAGAGCGAAAGTAAACTTGAAGCGCCACGCGGGAAATCTAAATCTAAAATTTGCCTAAAAATATTCCATATTCATTCAAAAACGAAGAGTGAGTTTATCATTGTATTTTTTCAAATTTTTCTAACTGAATCATTGTAATTATTCGCATTTAAATCATTTCATAAAGCTCATAAGTTAGTGCATATAAGCTTTAAAACATTTATTCACAAAGTCGTCATAATTTCGGCTTAGTTTATGCAGTTTGCAATCGTTCTTTATATGGACTCAGTATTGTTCTTCAGAAATTTTATGAGCCAAAAAATTATCTACTAAGAAAACAACATGAGTTGTTCTTGGATGAAACGTTAGAAGAAGAAAATTCAATTCATAAACAAGCACCCGCGTATATAAAACTTAGCTGCTTTCCTTGCCGTTCAACTTTGACCCGTAAACTCTGTGAAGATTACGAGAACAATTCTAGATAAACAAGCTCTAAACTACAATTACATATTATTATAAAGATAATTACCTGGTTGTGCAAACATAAGAATCCATGGCCAATGATAAGTTCAGAGTTGGTATAAAGTTCATCGAAGAATTCAGTACGTAAGTGACGTAAGTCATTTTTGCAAAGAAGCCGAATGGCAAAGGTGCCAAGCCAGCACACAGGAAACCCACTCTTGCGTTTTGAACTGAAAATTCACAATGTCGGCCATTGTAGATATTTTTGTTAAATTTGCTTTTTCTCCCCCTCTTCTCGCTTTGTACGCGATAATGAAATTTTGTGTCGTCTTTGCTTGACTTCCGTATCAAAAAATATTCTAGTTCCCCCCCGCGCACACGCACACCCACGCACTTTAAAATGTGCTGAAAACTTTCTAGCCCACAACAACCCTTCCCCACTCACTTCGAGATGTGTGTGATGAATTCTCTAAATAAAGGTATATACGAAATTGTTTTTCTTCTTAGATTGTAGAGGGACCCGCCCAATGTTTCAATAAGCCTGAAGCGAGATGACGTTTTACCCCCGTCTCTAGACCATAATCCTTTTCACATTGCTTTTGTTCTTTAATTATGACTATTGTTCTTGTGTTCTCTAAGGAATCAAAAATTTTAATATGAAAGAATTTCATAAACTATTATGGTATAAAGTCGGGGGTAAAACGTCATCTCGCTTCAGGCTTATTGTATTAATTAAACTTCACTTTCACGAACATTTTTTCTCAATCTTGCATGACCTTGATTGACTGTTTTTATTTGTTTTGTTTTGTCGTAGTTTCTATGATTTCAAGGTTTATTCTTCTCTTTTCTTTTTTTTTATTTTTATTTTTTATGTGTGTGTGTGTGTTGTTTCTTTCCCTTTTATTTCCTTTTCGTGCGCTTTCCCTTTTATTTTCCTTCCTTTCCTTTGCTTTCCTTCTTATTATTTTTATCTGCATTGTTTTCTCTTCTCCTTCTTCTTGTTTTTCATCTTCTTTCTTTTCCTTTCTTATATTTTTGTTTTCTTAGGGTTTCCCTTTTATCATCTCTTGCCTTTTCTATTCCTTTTCAGTTTTTTCTATCCTATTCTTTTCTTTCTCCTCAAAGGTGTCAGTGATGCTTTGTTGGCCTAAAGATTAAACAGTCATTTCTCTAACTTGTAAAATCAACAAAGTTATTGCAAATTTAATAAAGGGATATCAAGACTGTTTAAAAAAATCGGAAAA